CTGGATATTACCATTTGTGTTTTGATTGCATTTGTTTTCAAAGTATCTCCATTTTCCAAAATATTCCACAGATTCTGAGGAGAAAATTCTGGAAAAACTAGAAACATTTCCATAGTCCTGGTGATGCACCAATAAAACTGCAATACATTCAGCACGTCGCTCAGTCTTTCAGGAAAGAAAGTGCAGAATAACGTCTGCTACCCTGCTGGAGGACAGAATGGAATAACATGAGATGGGATTTGCCCAGGCAGCAGGGTACTCACTCCTGCTTCTCTTCTATAAAGTGAAGAAGGATCTTTTGTGACCACAAATACTCAGGAGATCAGTTTTATAACTCATCTACAAGAACTTTATACATCATTCATTGTACAGGTTTCTCTCCTCCCCAGGTTTTCAAAGGGAAGCCAGAGGCGAGGGAGGGGCTCTGGCCTCCTCACCACTTCCTGTCACTTTCATAAAAACCAAGAAGTAAAAAAAAAGAGAAGAATAAAATTCATTGGCAAAAATGTTGAGTTTCCTGCTGCTTCTGCTGCCTGGTAAGAACCCAGAAATTCTGCCCTGACCCCTACGAAAGATGGAATCCAGCCAGGTGCTCAAGAAGAGCACAGCTTCCCTACAGATACATACAGGCCAGGACATCAATATGGATCTTTCCAGAGTTCTGGGAATTGGATGCAGAAGCAATGTCAAGAAACTGGAGAGAGTTCTGAGAATATCAGTGAAAGTATTGGAGGCACCTAGGGACTATTGAAGAAGGGTTAATGCACAGCTCAGCCAAACTGCTAGTGACATGAGAACTAGGTACTATGACAACAATATTTGGAGTGTTACATATCAAGAAGGAAGGAGAATTGTTTTGAGTGGGCAAGGTGGTGTAACTAGAGGTAAATGGGGTGAAACTGTGTAAAAGGGGGAAATGTTAGTCTAGAAACTAGGAAACCCTTCCTAATAATGAGGATGGGCTAGGCTGTGCAATAGTCTCCCAAGGGAAGAGGTAGAAATGCTATAGCCTGAATGGGTGATGCCGTGGAGATTATGCTATAGAAGCGATCCTACATTGGTAGGGGAAGTGGGAGGCATTTTGAATGTGATTTCATTGGACTTTTAATTGCTAATTTCTAGGGCTTTGGCTCTGCTTCTCTCGCACAGGATCTGGACTGGGAGTCCTCATCTCTCAGTTGCCTAGAACTGTAACCCAGAGACCTGGAGAAACCATGAAGATAACCTGTGTCCAGAATGAAACCAGCTATACTTACATGTACTGGTACAAGCAGCTCCAGGGAGAAGGTCCAAGGTTAATAGCCCAAAGTGTGGATGGGTTCAATGCTACTTATGAGGAGAGGTATAATGCAACCAAGTTTCCAATCACTAGACTCAATACCAGGATCTCTTCCATGAGCGTTGTGGATCTGAGAACCCAGGATTCAGCCAGCTACTTCTGTGCTGCCAGTGAGCACACAGTGCTGTGAGGAGATCAGCAACTCATTCAGAAACCTGATCCCCAAATGAGAGAGAGACATGATGCTGACACGCCAAAGCACACCTGACTTCAAAACCACAGAGGCATTGTCGGCTTCCCAGGGAAACAGACCTT